CAAAAGTAGGACTTTGTTATACCAATTCCTTGAGTGTGGAGGCGTGATTTTGATTGGAAAAGCTTCCTGGTAGTGTCAGGAGTGTAGTGGAATGGTTTTGCAGTCTTGAATTATGCTCTAGCTAGGTTTTCAGTTTTGAGATTCTTAGGGAAAAAATCCAAAGTTGTTCTCTTGTTTGAGGTGCAGCTTTCTTGTTCTTTGCATTAGGGTTGCAATGTGTATATATGTGTGAATGCATTAGGTCAGAAAAATCAAGCCCAAAGCCTTGTATTCAATGATTTTCAATATTTGATTTTCATGATCTTTTTCAATCTTTTCTTGCCATGGAACTTGCCTATTTTGGAAGATCTTGCCTCTTGATGTGGTACACGAAATCCCTAGGTCATGATGAGTGAATATGCTGCACCAAAAGATTTGGAAAACATGATTTGCTATTTTTGTCATATTTAATTTTAATTAAGTGAATTAATAATAATAATAATAATTCAAATAATTAATCAAAAAATGATAAAATAACTCCCTTTAAAGTCAATGGGTCGTGCATAGCTTTTGGGTGATGATTCTTGGAAGAAATTGTGGCCCATTAGCAATTTTGAGGCATTTGAAGCAAAGTTGACTTTTCAAAATTCCCAAAAATTTCCCAACTTCCACAAGGCATATCTTGCTCAATTTTTAAGCTTTGATCAAGTTCTGTGACATTTTGGAAAGGTCTTGAAGTCCTCTAACCAATGCCTTTGGTACCATGTCATTTTGATTTACCAATCTCAAGTTATGGTCTTTGACTTAAAGTGCCTTTTTGTTGACTTTTGAAAATGACCTATAATGTTGAGATTGATAACTTTTTGTGAGAGAATTTCTTGGACTTGAAGTGTGAAGATGAATTGTAGGAAATGCCATTATCTTCAAAATGAGCTTTGGATGGAATTTTTCTGATAAACCATGTGGAAGTTATGCCTTGGTCAATTTGCAGTTGACTTTTTCAACTGTCCAAATTAGAAACTTTTGCATCTTGAGACTTTTTGAGCCATACCTTGAGAATCATGATCAAGAATTGATCAAATGATGTTTGTGGCTTCAAAATAAGATGTTGACCAAAAATTTGGACTTTTGACTGTCAAATGACCATTTTGCCCCTGCAGTTGACTATTGAGCAATTAGGGTTTTTGACTGTGCAATTTGGTGCTGTGAGTCTTGAAACTTGGCATATGGATGCTTGACCATGTTTTTAGGCATGTTGGACTTGTTTGGACCCTTGGAAACTTCAACTTCTTTGCCAGAACCAAAACCCTAATTTTTGACTGTTAGGAGGCAATTGGACTGTGCAACTCTTGGGAGATTTTAAAGCATTCTCTTAGCAAATCTTGAAGAAAATGGGAGGGAAAATTTTGGGGTACAACATGTGCAGTTGAATTGTGTAGGGAACCGTCGAAGAACATGGGTTGAACAAGTATTATTTCAAGAAACACATGTTTGAAAAATATGGGCATTTTTAAGGATGTCGATGGAATTTTCAAACACACATATGCGGAAGATGTGGTTGCTCCTCCTCTCGCTCCCGACGGTGGCTATACCATTGAATTTCGTTACAACAAACTTCACGATATGGACCTTCGTCACACGGGCGACCTTTGTGCTATTCATGGTGACGCCGCCTTCCTTAAGCAACAACATTGTCGCCGCATTGAGGAAGAAGAAGAGGGAGAGGAGGAATGTGATGAGGAAAATGAGGAGATGGATGAAAATCAATTATTAACATATTTATGTCTAAATTTTCTTATGCTCTATTTCAATATTGTTTGATTATGTTATATGTTTTGTTGTTTTAGACAATGTTTCTATCATGCTTTGTAAAGCTTAAGACTAAGTGTTTTTATGTTGTAATGTTTTAAATTTTGTTTTGTTATAATGTTATGTTGGTCATGTTTCATATTATTTGTTCTTTGTATATGTTAAATTTTTTACTTCTTTTCCCCATCCTTTTTTATAATAACAAAGGGGGAGAAGAGGCATGTGCATGTGTTTGTGTTTGCTTTTGTCAAAATTTGTGCAGCCACATTATTCAACTCATTCCATGATTCAAGAAGAGCATTGATTAAGGGGGGAGTTATCAACATAGGGGAGCATGCACATTAGGACAAGTCAAGAAATCTAAATACACTCACACATCTCAATTTTCAACGGTTGTCATCATCAAAAAGGGGATAATGTGAAGTCAAGCTTCTCCAATTCTATGTTTTGATAAAGTTAAAAAATATGAATATGTATAAAGAAAGGATGAGCAAAAGATTCAAGAAGCATTGTATCATTCAAGTTTCCAAGTCTCAAAGCTAGCATCGATTATTTCAAGACCTTAAATTGAAGACAATGTGGAGCTTGAGCATTATAGATACAAGCATGCATTTGCATTGAAAAATAAGTGCTCAATATTTTCCATAATTTATATGCGTCATTAACTACTTTTGTTTCATAGTGCAAATTGTTCTGGCTGAAAAAGAAAAAAATTCTTCTAGTTTTCACTCAGGAAATCGATTACCCATATTGGGGAAATATATTTCTCCTTTGTAAGACAACCATGCAACTTTTCTGGAAAACAATTTTTCTGCATGGAAATCGATTACCCAAATATTGGAAATTGATTTCCTTCACGATTTTTTCAAAAAAAAAGGTACAGCTCTTCAGGGAAACCGATTACCCCATATTGGGAAATCGATTTATTGAGTTGAAAGAGGCAAATTTTACTCTTTTAAATTCTGAACATTTTCCAAATAACACCATTTCAAACATGCATTGCTTCAATGATTTTCACATTTTCAAAAGGGTGTTAAGGCACTGTATAAGCTATACATTTTCATATTTAAAAATTACCTATTTCATTTTCAATTTAACTTCATCTCTATTCATTCAAATTTCAAACAAGTGTTTTGATTATCCAACTTTCACAAAGAATTTTCTACATTAGTTTCCAAACCAGTTTCGAAAATTCATCTCATATTCATAAACACTTGAGCACTATTATCTTTAAAAATCGCATGATTGGAAGGGAATATCAATCAAGTGATTGATACATTGTATATCTCAAATCAAACTCTTGTAAAAACTAGAAATACTTGTTTTATCCCTATTGTCCAGGATTGTTAGAAGCAGTAGAGTCATTAAGGGAGGATTGTTCTCTTAGTGTACTTAGTGAAAATCCGAGAGGATTGTTCTTGGTGTTAGTGTTGGTCATTGTACAAGTCCAATCAATAGTAAAATATCTTTCATGTTGAAAGGGGACTGAAATACTCTCAAACTATGAGGGAAACCATGATACATCCTTGTGTCGTTTATTTTTCTACACTTTATTGATTTCAAAACATCAACATTAACCAGAAGAAAAAAATACCAACTTCAATAAAAATCGATAAAAAATTTAAAGTGTCTAATTCACCTCCCCCCCCCCCCCCCTCTTAGACGCACTCAATATTTACAATTGAAATCAGAGCATGTATAGGTAACATGTTCCTAAAAGTTCCAGAATGGCTTCCGTGAACTCAAATTTGGTTTTTAAAGATGGTATCTTCATCAACCAATCCAAGTATTACAAGGAATTGTTGAAAAGATTCGACATGGATAATTATTAAGCAATGTCTACACCCATGGGATCCAGATCATATCTATATCAAGATGAATCCGGTGTTTCGATTGATATTACAAAATATCGAGGTATGATTGGTTCATGATTATATTTGACGGAAAGTCATCCTGACATAATATTTAGTGTATGTATATATGCTCACTTTCAAGCAAATCCAAAGGAATCTCATCTCATAGCGGTAAAAAAGATCATGAAGTATCTCAAAGGAACAATGAATGTCAGGCTATGGTATCCAAAAGGCAGTGTATATGATTTACTTGGTTATTGTGACTCAGGTTATACAGGCTACAAAACTGACAGGAAAAGCACTAGTGGTACATGTCATCTTCTTGGAAACATAATAGTATCATGGTCTTGTAAGAAACTAGCATGTGTCGCTCTTAGCACGACTGAAGCAGAATATATTGCAGTAGGAAGTTGTTGCGCTCAAATCTTATAGTTGAAACAACAACTTAGCGACTATGGCTTAAATCTTGCATGCATTTCGTTAAGGTGTGACAATTCAAGTGCTATCAATATAACCAAGAATCTATTCATGCACTCGAGAACCAAACACATAGATATTCCACATCATTTTCTACACGATCACGTTCTTAAAGGTGACGTCGAAGTTTCATTCATTAACACGCATAATCTACTAGCGGATATTTTCACAAAACCGCTTGCTAAAGATTCCTTCTACAAAATCCAACAAGAACTTGGGATTTTGGATGAACACGACGTATGAAAAATCGTACAAGTATTTATTTATTACAATTTTCATAAATTTTTATGATATTTCATCTATGAATCTATGATATAACATGTTTTTGTATGCAAATAAATGTTCACATGCTGCCTAAACATGTCCTCTTGATATTGTGTGTGTTTTTATTTGATAATTTTCAAGTTACAAAATAATTTTTTTGTGGTTGGGCAAAATATTTTGTGGAAATCAATTAACCAAATTATGGAAATAGATTTCCTGAAGCGAATTTTCAATTTTGGGCTCTGGAAAATCAGGTTTACGTAATAGAATTTGACCCCCCTGCAAAAAATTGATTTCCTGACGAAATTTCATTTTATACTTTCTATTTTATTTATTTATTTATTATGATTGATAATTTTTAAATGTTGGTCAAATATTCATTTCATCTCGCTCACTCCTCCACCTACCTTTCCATCTACTCTTCCACCTATTTATTACCCACTCACAACACTCTATCTCCCAACCTTACCTCATTAAAATCCCACTTTATTAAATCAATTAAAAGACACTTTTCTTTTCCAAAAAACCAAAATAAGCTATTTTCAAAAAGTACTTATTTTGCTCCCAAAGCCAAAAACGAAAATACTCTCTCAAACCCAAACTTTTCAAAGCTCATCCATGGCACTTCTAAAACATGCAAGGGGAAAAACACCCATGGGTGAAGGTTCAAATGCTCAAAACTCAAACTCATATACTAAGAAAGTTCTCCCACCTCTGAAATCAAGAATGGTTTTGACAAAGTTCAAGCAAAGAAGTGTTTTCTTCCCAAGTATGGTAAGCTTGATACTTTTCCTTCCACTGGTTTTCAATTTCCGGAAATATTTGAATATCAATATGTGGTAAGATTTGTGTCTGACTTTGGGTTGTATTATCAAGACTTAATTAAGGATTTTTATGCTCATCTAACAATACTTCCAGAATGTGTGCTTAGCACTATGATTAGAGGGAACCAAATTATATTATTTTTGGAAGATTTTGGAAAGTGTTTAGGTGTTTCTTTTGAAGGTTATAGGATTGTACATGGGTTTAATCCTGACGGGGCTGGTTGGAAAAACTATAGTATGTTGGATTATTATTTCAACATCTGTCACATTTCGCAGCAAGAATTCTATGTATGCTAAGCTAGGTCCAACTCCACAAAGTTATTTTTGTCTAGCAAGAATTTGTCGGTAAGCGACCGAATTTTACATTACTTTTTGGCTTATGTGTTGGTTCCAAAAGGAGGCAACTACACAAAGGTTGGTTCTACCCAAATGCAACTCTTTTTTGCAATGAAGCACAATATGAAGATCAACTGGACTTATGTGATTATGAGACATATAGAATTTTCCAAAGGATTGTTTGGAGGGTATCCGTATGCTAGAGCTACAACCAAGGTTTTGAACACTTGTGCAGTTGAATTGCATAGGGAACCTTCGAAGAACATGGGTAGAACAAGTATTATTTCCAGCAACACATTTTTGAAAAATATGGGTATTTTTAAGGATGTCAATGGCATTTTCAAACACACAGTTGTAGAAGATGTGGTTGCTCCTCTTCTCGCTCCCGAAGGTGGCTATACCATGGAATTCATTTACAACAAACTTTATGAGATGGACCTTCGTCACACGGCCAACCTTCGTGATATTTGTGGTGATGTCGCCTTCCTTAAGAAACAACATTGTTGTTGCATTGGGGAAGAAGAAGAGGAAGAAGAGGAACGTGATGAGGAAAATGAGGAGATGGATGAAAATTAATGATTAACATATTAATGTTTAAATTTTATTATGCTCTATTTCAATATTTTTTTATTATATTCTATGTTTTTTTTTGTTTTAGACAATGTTTCTATCATGCTTTGTGATGCTTAAGACTAAGTGTTTTTATGTTGTAATATTTTCAATTATGATTTGTTATATTATTATGTTGGTTATGGTGCATATTATTGGTTCTTTGTATATCTTAAATTTTTTACTTCTTTTCCCCATCCTTTTTTATAATAACATAGGGGGAGAAGAGGCATGTGTATGCGTTTATGTTTGCTTTTGTCAAAATTTATGCAGCCACATTGTTCAACTCACTCCATGATTCAAGAAGAGCATTTATTAAGGGGGGGGGGGGGGGGGGAGGGGTCATCAACATAGGAGAGCATCACATTAGGACAAGTCAAGAAATCTAAAGACACTTACACATCTCAATTTTCAATGGTTGTCATCATTAAAAAAGGGAGAATGTAAAGTCAAGCTTCTCCAATTCTATGTTTTGATGAACTCAACAAATATGCATATACATAAAGAAAGGATGAGAAAAAGATTCAAGAAGCATTGTATCATTCAAGTGTCCAAGTCTCAAAGCTAGCATCGATTATTTCAAGACCTTAAATTGAAGACAATATGGAGCTTGAGCATTATAGGTACAAGCATGCATTTATATTGATAAATAAGTTCTCAATGTTTTCCATAATTCATATGCGTGCATTAACTACTTTTGCTTCATAGTGAAAATTGTTCTGGATGAAAAAGAAAAATAATTCTTCCAGATTTCACTCAGGAAATCGATTACCCATATTGGGGAAATAGATTTCCCCTTTGTAAGACAACCATACAGCTTTTCTGGAAAATAATTTTTCTGCATGGAAATCGATTACCCAAATATTGGAAATCGATTTCCTTAACGATTATTTAAAAAATAGGTGCAACGCTTCAGGGAAACCGATTACCCCATATTGGGAAATCGATTTCCTGAGTTGACAGAGACAAATTTGACTATTTTAAATTCTGAATGTTTACCAAATAACACCATTTCAAACTTGCATAGATTCAATGGTTTGCATATTTTTAAAAGGGTGTTAAGACACTATATAAGCTATACATTTTCATATTTGAAAATTACCTCTTCCATTTTCAATTTAACTTCATCTTTATTCATTCAAATTTCAAACAAGTGATTTGATTATCCAACTTTCACAAAGAATTTTCTGCATTAGTTTCCAAACCAGTCTAGAAAATTCATCTCATATTCATAAACACTTGAGCACTATTATCTTTAAAAATTGCATGATTGGAAGGGAAGATCAATCAAGTGATTTATACATTGTATATCTCAAATAAAACTCTTGTAAAAACTAGAAATACTTGTTGTATCCTTGTCGTCAAGGATTGTTGGAAGCAGGAGAGTCATTAAGGGAGGATTATTCTTTTAGTGTACTTAGTGAAAATCCCAGAGGATTATTCTTGGTGTTTGTGTTGGTCGTTGTACAAGTCCAAACAATAGTGAAATCTCTTTCATATTGAAAGGGGACTGAAGTACTTTGGATTGTGAGGGGAACCAGAATACATCCTTGTGTCATTTATTTTTCTTCACTTTATTACTTTCAAAACATCAACAAAAACCAGAAAAATAATACTTACTTCACCAAAAACCTATAAAAAATTTAGTGTCTAATTCACCCCCCCCCCCCCCCCCCCTCTTAGACGCACTCAATATTTACAATTGGAATCACAGCATGTAACAGGTAACATGTTCCTAGAAGTTCCAGAATGGCTTCCGCGAACTTAAATCTGATTTTTAATGATGGTATCTTTATCAGTCGATCAAAGTATTGTAAGGAATTATTAAAAAGATTCGACATGGACAATTGTAAAGCAATGTCTACACCTATGGGATCCAGAACATATGTAGACCATGATGAATTCAGTGTTTTGATTGATATTACAAAATATAAATGTATGATTGGTTCATGATTATATTTGATGGCAAGTTGTCCTGACATAATGTTTAGTGTTTGTCTATGTGCTAGCTTTCAAGCAAATCCAAAGGAATCTCATTCCATGGCAGTAAAAAAGATCATGAATTATCTCAAAGGAACAACTAATGTCGGGCTATGGTATCCAAAAGGCAGTGTATGTGATTTACTTGGTTATTCTGACTCAAATTATGCAGGTTGCAAAACTGACCGGAAAAGTACTAGCGGTACATGTCATATTCTCGGAAACACATTAGTATCATGGTCTTGTAACAAACTAGCACGTGTCACTCTTAGCACGACTGAAGTAAAATATATTGCAGTAGGAAGTTGTTGCAATTAAATCTTATGGTTGAAATAATAACTTAGCGACCACGGCTTAAATCTTGGATGCATTCTGTTAAGGTGTGACAATACAAGTGCTACCAATATAACCAAGAATTCATCTATGCACTTGAGAACCAAACACATAGATATTCGACATCATTTTCTAAGCGGTCACGTTTTAAAAGGTGATGTCGAAGTTTCATTCGTTAACACACATAATCAACTAGCGGATATTTTCACAAACCGCTTGCTAAAGATTCCTTCTACAAAATCTGATGAGAACTTGGGATTTTTGATGAAAACGACGTATGAAAAACGGTACAAGTATTTATTTATTTTAATTTTCATAAAATTTCATCATATATCATCTATGAATCTATGATATAACATTTTTTGTATGCAAATAAATGTTCACATGTTGCCTAAACATGTTCTCTTGATGTTGTATATGTTTTTATGGGTTTTTATTTGATAATTTTCAAGTTACAAAGTTACTGTTTTTGTTATTGGGCAAAATATTTTGTGGAAATCAATTAACCAATTTATGGAAATCGATTTCCTGAAGCGAATTTTCAATTCTGGGCTCTGGAAAATCAGGTTTGCATGATGGAAATCGATTCCCCCTGCTGAAAATCAATTTCCTGAATAAAGTTTTGTTTTATACTTTCTGTTTTTTATTTATTTATTATGATTGATAATTTTTAAATGTTGGTCAAATATCCGTCTCATCTCTCTTACTCCTCCACCTACCCTCCCATCTACTCTTCCACATCTTTATTACCCACTCACAACACTCCATCTCCCAACCTTATCTCATTAAGATCCAACTTTATCAAATCAATTACAAAACACTTTTCTCTTCCAACAAACCAAAATAAGCTCTTTTCATAAAGCACTTATTTTGATCCAAAAGTCAAAAAAGAAAATCCTCTCTCAAACTCAAACTTTTCAAAGCTCATCCATGGAACCTCTAAGACATGCAAGGGGGGAAACACCCATGGATGAAAAGGTTCAAATGCTCAAACTTAGACTAAAACACTAAGCAAATTATGTCACCTCTGAAATCAAGAAGGGTTTTGACAAACTTCAAGCAAAGAAGTATTCTTCTTCCCAAATATGGTAAGCTTGATACTTTTCCTTCCACTAGTTTTCAACAATTTTCAGAAATGTTTGAATATCAACAAGTGGTAGGATTTGTGTCTGACTTTGGGTTGTATTATAAGGACTTAGTTACGGATTTTTTTGCTCATCTGACAATACTTCCAGAATGTGTGCTTAGCACTATGATTAGAGGGAAGAAAATTATATTGTCTTTGGAAGATTTTGGAAAGTGTTTAGGTGTTCTGTTTGAAGGTGAGAGGATTGTACATGGTTTTAATCCCGACGGGGATGGTTGAAAAAACTATAGTATGTTGGATTATCATTTCAGCATCTGTCGCATTTCGCAGCAAGAATTCTATGTACGCTAAGCAAGGTCCAATTCAACAAAGTTGTTATTGTCTAGCAAGAATTTATCGGTAAGCGACTGGATTTTACATTACTTTTTGGCTTATGTGTTGGTTCGAAAAGGAGGCAACTACAGAAATGTTGGTTCTACCCAAATGCAACTCATTTTTGCAATGAAGCACAATATGAAGATCAACTGGGCTTATATGATTATGAGAATATGGAATATTCCAAAGGATTGTCCGTAGGGTATCCATATGCTAGAGCTATAACCAAGGTTTTACACACTTATGTAGTTGAATTGCGTAGGGAACCATCGAAGAACATGGGTAGAACAAGTATTATTTCAAACAACACATGTTTGAAAAATATGGGATTTTTAAGGATGTCGATGGCATTTTCAAACACACAAATGTGGAAGATTTGGTTGCTCCTCCTCGCGCTCCCGAAGGTGGATATATCATTGGTTATTTGTATATGTTAAATTTTTTACTTCTTTTCCCCTGCATATGTGTTTGTGTTTGCTTTTGTCAAAATTTGTGCAACCACATTGTTCAACTTACTCCATGATTCAATAAGAGCATTAATTAAGGGGGGAGTCATCAACATGGGGGGATTATGCACGTTAGGACAAGTCAAGAAATCTAAAGACACTCAAACATGTCAATTTTCAATGGTTGTCATCATAAAAAAGGGAAGAATGTGAAGTCAGGCTTCTCAAATTCTATGTTTTGATAAAGTCAAAAAATATGCATATTGTTGTACCCCAAAATTTTCCTTCTCATTTTATCAAGATTTCCCCCCACAAGACTCTTTGGACTCAAGACCAGATCAGGGTTTGCTCAGCTCAAGACCTCTCCTTGCATTGTTGACCTGAAATTAGGGTTTGAGTTTGCATAAGGATTTTTGGACTTCCAATGCCTCATGTGACTTTCATACTTCATTTTGGACCTATAAGATTGCTCATACCAAGTTTCAAGCCTTGAATCAAATTTTTGCCCAGTCAATTGGATAGTTGACCTAAAAATCAACTATATTGGGGAAAAAGTCAACGGTGACCAATTTACAGTCAAACCTCATAATTTTTTATCCACATCAACATAATAGACTCATATGAACCATTTGATCAAGTTTGGACCACAACTCCTCAAGAAATTTGATCAGATCTTCAAAAGGGCAAAATGGTCATTTTTAGGGTTTTGACTGCAGAAGGGCAATTTCTAATTTTTCACCTAGCCA